GTGACACGTCGCCCCGAGGCTTAGCGCTTTTTTTTGCCAAAATGCTTGTCAAAGATAAAAGATAAAATGCCACCAGATCAGCTCGTATAGCGCCCCTTTATAAGAAAACCTTCTAGATTTATACCTGACGGGCGAAGGCAGGCTATGTAAAGCCAAATTGAAAGCAGTGGCACCGCGTGTGCTATTTGCTAAAACCGTCGCAGTGGGATAGGGTGTCAGAATGGATAGTGTGCCAAACTGCTTTAGTGGTGATCAGTAAAGAGGATTGTTTTTTTTGTTATTATCTTGTCAAGCCGCTGACAAACATTTATTTTTTTGTTTATGGGTTGCTGAAGTAGCCGAAATCCATTTAGAATTCTGGGTTGCCGGTTGTCGTTTTTCAATTCTGGAACCTTTGCCTGGAGTCATTTTCCCTCACTGTCTTTTGATAAGCGCATCATGAAGTCGTGAAGGTTTTTTTTTTTGCCCGATATAAAACTACGTATCCATCTTTCCCGTAGCATATGGAAGAAAAAAAAACAATTCTGCCTCTGAAATATAAAACATTGAACACTTGAACTGGAATAGCATTAAACAGGAAAAAGTGAAAAAAATAACTTGTTGAGTTAACGAGTTCCCCAGAAAGTTGAGGAATGGTTCAAAACACTATTTTTCTAAGCCAAAAAATTATAAATCTTTTAAATCGCATTATATTGATTCGGGGGCAGCGGTGATGGAGTAGTTAGTTTGCACACTGTGCCAAGAACACGGAGAGTCAAGTTCCAATCGCGGTCACGGCTACCATCAGTGGCAAGAGACACATTACAGCTCTGCTGAGACACTCCGCTCCCTCCCCACGCCCCCTCACAGACTCGCAATGGCCTGGTATGGTGAAATATGGTCAAACAACCCCCATGGCCAACCATGTATGGGGATTATTCTTCTTGGTTCTTTCGGTAAAGTCACGTAGAATGGAAATAATAAAATAATAAAAATAAAACATAATAAAATAATAAAATATTTCTCTGGTGAGAATTGTTTTATTATGTTTTATTTTTATTATTTTATTATTTCCATTCTACGTGACTTTACCGAAAGAACCAAGAAGATGAATCCCTGCAGTCACGAAAGCTTTAAATCGAAATTTAAAACTGTATGGGGATTCCGTCATCATTCAGCTGAGGATTGACACAACAGGACACAGTCTTCCTATCGATATATTAGACTGACAGAAAAATACTTTTAACATTTGCCGAATGTTCTATATTCTAGTTTTCAATCCATGTTGTTTGACCGCAGACATGATTACTTAATAATTCAAATTTCGGAATGAAAAAAAAATAAACCTCTTGTACTTTGTACCATTGGTGGAAGGGTACAGTACACGACCATACTTCACCACGCTGGTGATGACGGGTCGGGGAAGACGTCCGCCTGTAATGCGGAACGCAGTACTCCACCCTCGTGAGCCCCCTGGCCTCCAGGGCTAGCCCAGCATGCGTCCACGCAGCTCAGACGATGCCCCATTATGAGGCTGTTTCCCTGTCGAAAGTCATCCCGAACAACATACATCATCATCAGCAGCAGCAGCAGCAGCCATGGTCAATCCACTGCTGGATCTACGCCTCCCTAAGCCGCCGCCGAGACATCTCAAGATCCTGCAGACGCGGCAATCCACGCGACAGCCTGCACGTGGGCTCATTTCATCGCTCCATCTCCCCCACGGACGTGCTGATGGACACGTCGCATCATTATCCTCGACTCTTCCAGTGACATGCCCTGACCAGGCTCCCACTTCCTGCACATTATGTTTATTGTTGTTATTATTAAATATGCATTGTTGTATGAAGTAACTACTTCAGCAGTTTTTTGCTTGCTGTGGTTGTCCCACCTGATGACGGTTGCTTGTGTTGCGATCGAAACGTCGTGATCGATCATTATTTGTCTACCTACGTGACTTTACCGAAAGAACCAAAGAGTATGGATTCCTGCAGTCACGATTTATAAAGCTGCTTAATTATGTTACTATTTTACTTTTTAACTATGTGTGTATGTATTTAATGGATTTTTAACTTCTTTCGCAGTACGTAGCTAATTGTGCTAATCGGAAGTGCGCGGAAGGACAACAACCTAAACACAATCAGCAGTTCTAAAGAAATGAGTTTTCAATCTAGATTATTGGATTTGCTACGTATATTGTATATGCTTCTTACAATACTCTATGATAACTCATGTTGTAACTATGCTACTATTACGCCACGGTGATGTACCATGATGCATCTTAAATCTAGATTGAAAGCTCACGCTCGAGGATGGCCGGTGTTTAGTGTCGCTCTGCGGAGAGACGAGAGCTCTTGTTCAGCTCGCGTGTTGCCACCGGTCACGTGTTTATCCAGGCCAGTAGGTGCCCCATGGTCCGTGTCTCACGCCGGCCACGGGTGTCAAGGCAGGACGAGAAGAGAGATGTGTAGTCCGGGTGGGGGGGGGGGGTACATTAGGCCCAGCGTCTCGATGGCGACGCAGATCCACGCCAAAAATAAGAGGGAAAAGAAGCCAACCCGGCACTGCGGATTCCACTTCCGTCTCGGACCGCGTGGCGCACCCAGTGCCCAAGATCTGCGGATCTACAGTTGGAGTCCTCAGCCACCTCAAGAGCCACCACCAGACCCGATGGAAGTCGTCCTCGAACCACCCTGAGGGACTGACGAAGACCACGTCGGCATTGCGCAAGAGGTGCGGCCCATAGAGTCGCATGCAAGACAAGCCGCTCCAATGGGAAGGTGCTGGCATTTGAGCTCAGGAGTCTGAGGCCTGTGACTCTGTAGGTCTCTAGGTATCTAAGAGTGGATGGTGGGGGACTGTCAGGGCAGAGCTATGGGTCTCTGTGTGAGTCTATAGGTCTCTATGTGACTCTGTAGGTCTCTAGGTATCTAAGAGTGGATGGTGGGGGACTGTCAGGGCAGATCTATGGGTCTCTGCGTGAGTCTATAGGTCTCTATGTGACTCTGTAGGTCTCTAGGTATCTAAGAGTGGATGGTGGAGGACTGTCAGGGCAGATCTATGGGTCTCTGTGTGAGTCTATAGGTCTCTGTGTGAGTCTATAGGTCTCTATGTGACACTGTAGATCTCTAGGTAACTAAGAGTGGATGGTCGGGGACTGTCAGGGCAGATCTATGGGTCTCTGTGTGAGTCTATAGGTCTCTATGTGACACTGTAGGTCTCTAGGTAACTAAGAGTGGATGGTCGGGGACTGTCAGAGCAGATCTATGGGTCTCTGTGTGAGTCTATAGGTCCCTATGTGACTCTGTAGGTCTCTAGGTATCTAAGAGTGGATGGTGGGGGACTGTCAGAGCAGATCTATGGGTCTCTGTGTGAGTCTATAGGTCCCTATGTGACTCTGTAGGTCTCTAGGTATCTAAGAGTGGATGGTGGGGGACTGTCAGAGCAGATCTATGGGTCTCTGTGTGAGTCTATAGGTCCCTATGTGACTCTGTAGGTCTCTAGGTATATAAGAGTGGATAGTGGGGGACTGTCAGGGCAGATCTATGGGTCTCTGTGTGAGTCTATAGGTCCCTATGTGACTCTGTAGGTCTCTAGGTATCTAAGAGTGGATGGTGGGGGACTGTCAGGACAGATCTATGGGTCTCTGTGTGAGTCTATAGGTCCTTATGTGACTCTGTTGGTCTCTAGGTATCTAAGAGTGGATGGTGTGGGACCTTCAGGACTGTCAGGACCTTCAGGACTGTCAGGGTAGATCTATAGTTCTCAGATTTCAGACAGTTACTCAAACCTATTGAATTTTCGATTTGTATAATGGGCATTCAAATTCTGCACACTGAGATTTGCTTAGCTCCTGCAAGATGGTATGAGAAGGTTACCCGCGTGCGGGCATATTCAATTGATTTTATTAACCCGGAAATATTTTCCCGGTTAATTTATTGTAAAAATTATACGGCTGGAATGCTGAATAAATTACAGGTATGGCTTTTTTTTTTGTTCAGCATTGCTGTTTGCCCCTTGGCTTTTTTTTTCTTCATCTTTGTTCGTTAAATTATAACACTTGAACATGATTTGCAATTCATGTTCACGGTCTCTCTCGTGACCTGGCCGTGGCACAGGTCATGATTCCAGCTGTAAATTACGTGCATAGAACAAAAGATTATATTTCAATTCGGAGTATTTCTTAACGCACAAGAAATCGAGCGTTTTTTGGCCATCAGGGCATCAATTCAAGAAAGAGATTATCCTGAATACTTTGGCAAGGCAGACATAGTAAAAAATAAAATTGCCATCTCCCACTTTATTATTTTTACTACTACTTAAGTGTGGTAGTGGGGTTGGGAGTGGGGGTCAATCGGGTGAAATATCAGCGGCAGAACGTGACATTTCAAATGCGCGCTGACTTGCAGTGCACGCGCGCCTCTCTAATTGACGCGGCGGTCGTATCGAGAAGAGCTGAGCCCTTGTCGCGAGAGCCCTGTCCCTGGCACATTCGTCAACGCACAAATTGCAGAGAGCCCCGCACGGTCGGTGGAGGGGGGTGGCGGCGCGGGGAGGAGAAGGAGGGCGGGGAGGGGAGTGTGGCGCACGACCGCCAATTATACACGGGGCTCAGCCTCTTGCATTGACGGGGAACCGAACGTCGCCACCGCGGGTTCTCCGGTATCACCGCCGCGTAGATCCCCGCAACTTGCGGCCAACGCTCTCAAGTTTACCGAGACAGGAGCGCGGCGCTCATTCATCATCATGCAAACATCGAGGCACTTTCAGTTCGAAGAATTGGCGCTCACTCGGCGCGGCTTGTTACGGTTTATTAAATTACCCCGGTTTATATTTTTTGTGTGTGCGTCCCTTTACTCCGTTGCCCTGTCGCCGTTTTCCCGTTATTGATTTCCCCGGCGAAAGTGAATGTTAGCGGGCAAGCGTCTGACGAAGCGGAGATGCGCGTGGGGTAGATGCAACTTTGCGTCCCGTTGTTCGGCACAGGCCATTAGGCGCGTGAGCAACCGTGAATGACTGCTGTTTACCGGCGTTGTCGCGAGCTTCTTGAGCGGCCGTCAAACGCAACGGGCACGTCTAATGGACATTCGTTATTTTTCGGCAACAAGGTACGGATTATTGAAGTCAGGAACTGAAGCATAATTTTGGAAATTTGATTAAATTACGTGACAGGCCCTCGTTCAAAAATGGCTTTCCGATCATCGCTTTCATTTAGTCACAAATTGTGGCCTGAGGCAATGCTGAGACAGCATCATCATCTACAATTTGGGGAATATTTTCCAAACATTGAGCTTTTTAATAACATGGATTTACCCCTTTTTTCTGGCAACAAAACTGAAACCTTTTTACAAGAATTCATGTCTCTGGTCGAGCACCAATTGGGTCGAGACTCAAAAGAAAGCCGTCAATGCATATATTATCACAGTGTGTTTTTTGTTTGCATTTTGACTGCAAGTATTGTGGTTAATACAGACATGAATTCTTGTCAAAAGGTTTTAGATTTGTTGCCAGAAAAAAAGAGGAAAAACTCTATTATTATATTTTGGTACTGGCAAAGGAGGTCTAATGATATTGAGCTTTTTTAAAGAGATGCCATTTCACTCTTTGCCTTTATTACATAAACATTGCAAGCAGAGAAAGATAAAGAGAGAGAGAGGCAATGAGAAAAAGCTGACTATTTGTGAAAAATTTAAAATCCATGATGTGATAAAGCAAAAGTCATACTGTGAAACGATCTAGTCCACACCATAGAAATGTGGAATTTCCACCAACGGAATTGCTCACTGTCCCACACTCGTTTGAGCCAGAAGGCACTTGTCACTTGTGCGCTGTTGGTATTTTGAAGCGTAGTTGATGTTTGTATTGGACTCTGTGATGTTTTACTGAACTGCATTGTGTTACCCGTGACTCACAAAGATTTCTTCAGAAACGCCGGCGATGGCAGAAATTGTATTACTCTTTTAATCCTTCGCCTCTGCAACTGTTTCTGTTTGTGGACTAAATTGTGGCCAAACAAAAACTAATCAGCCACAAATCGCAGCGTGGGCTGCGAAAACCAAAGCGCTATGTGGATATTATCTGTAAAAAAAAAACACGTAAAAACTACTGTGCCCGTGAAATGTTGGAATCTTTCATAAAACATGTGGTTATTTCATCACGAGTTGGACCAGAATGAACAGGAAACCCGGTGGCCCAGGTAGATCACACGTCTAATGCATCATGAAATGGTAGCGCACAGTCTGAACGCAGGCAAGTGCTGTAGGCTCAGGGAGAGCTCAGCCGCGCCGGCGTGTTCTGAGCCACGGCACATATGAAATTCCTGGTCAATCCCCAGTGCAAATAGACACTCATATACATGCATATACATATACTCGCCTGCGCGCACGTGCGCGTGAGATACAGTGTAGGATGCGAGGAACGCATGAGAGTGGTTTCCCTGCAGGGATGTGGAGAGAAGGGAAACATTCGTGAAAATACGGAGACATTGAAGACATGAACGCTGAACTAGGCGGGGATTTGCCAGGCATTACACAGCAATGCACATCATTTATGGCTCTCCTGTGTGCATTTTTCTCTCCGCTGACATTTATCAGATGCCCATAAAAACACGTAATTGGAACGAGTGCGTAACATAACAAAGCATTGTTTAAGAATCTGTTGACGATTCACATTCTGTATACAAATAGTTTAGACCGCATATGATGTATTTTTACATATATTGTTAATAATATTAAGCAACTTTGTCAATCCACTGCTGGATGGAGGCCTGGTGTGACCACACTTCCACACTGACCACGCTCCGCACTGGCTGATGTGCCTTGGTGAAGTCGGGGACCTTGGACTGATTCCCTTACCACTCGCACACTGATGTTAGCCATGGTTCCAAGCACAGTGTGCTAACCACTATGCCACCACTCTCTCCAATACATCTGTGATTAATGCGAGAAGATTTTTTTTTGCGTTCGCCATTCCCTTTTTTCGTTTGCATTGAAGTGTTGAAGTGAATATAGCCCCCTTCTAGTGGCTACGGGGATCACATAAACCAAATACGTATGGCATATATATACAAATGGAAACGATTGTTTTTTGCACACGCAAGGTGTAAGGATCAATGTTAATCGACGAGTCTATAATAACGATGACACCTCTACCACGCAGCCAGGCCATGGGCCATCAGGACAATGGCCGGTGGCCAAGACGAACCACGTGTCAGGAGCTCGATGGACGCTTGCACCGTGCGACCTTGGGAAGGCTTCATCCAGCAGTAGACAGCTAATGGCTGACTGTGCCGATGGCAGTGCTGGGTGGTAATACCGCCGTCTCATTCACAGGCAGGATCATTCCCTGGCGGTGGCAGCAGCAGACCCGTCGAGGCCACCGCATTCCCGCGGAACCGCTAATCAAATGTGAGTCCGCTATTTGTGCCGCGCCAAACGTTACCTTTCAAGTTACGCACACACTGAAATAATAAGCGACTTTTAAACGAACCAAGGCTGTGCAGTTTCCAAACGTCCTGCTTGTCTAAACAGAGGTAGTGGGGGGGGGGGGGATTTTTGTTGTTGTAAAGGGAAGTGGTTGGGTGGTGGTGGTGGCGGCGGCGGAAAGAAATGTGAGTTCATTATTTCTTTCACCAATTGTTTTTCTCCTCCTCCTCCCCCTGTAGAGTAGCAGCTGAGGCTGAGATCATTTGTTAGCGGCGCCGGGGATAACCCCGAGACGAGCGGTGACTGTGGGGCCGGGGAGCCATCCCCACGAGCCGCCTGCCGTGCCGACATCCCTCGCCTGGCAGCGGCAGGGTCGCCTCCCTCCCCCACACTCGCCCCTGAGCCCCTTCCTGATCAAATAATTGCCGTGTTTTTCGACGTCCCCCCTTTGCCACCCCCCAACCCTCCCTTCTTGCCAGTTACAAATGCCAGCGGATTTAAGTGCGTCTGTGCATGATAACAGAACGGCAAAAATGGAACAAAGTAAATAATCAAAAATTGGCTAAAACTATTTTGGTGTTAATTTTGTAAAAAAATAATCCACGTGGTTTTTGTGTGCCACTTACTGAAAGATCCATTTACCGTAAGTTGTTCATTCGTAAGTGTTTGTGGGGTTTTATTTTTTTGCTTCAAGGAGCCATTCTTCGAGCAGACGAAGGTCTCGTTTTGTTTGTTGAAGCGAATCGAGAACGGGAAGGGACAAGTGGCACGTGTTCGCATGGCTCGAGGATGGCTCTAAGATATGCGCGCACCACACCCACTTAAAGGTACAACCCGAGATCCTGCGCACAAATACATTCTAAGTACCCGTCTAAAATAATACATTCTAAACGAACGGTTGTATGTATTGCCGTAGCAAAGAAATGCCTTTTAAACAATCCCACTCAATTGTCGACCAACGAATCATCACCTCGTGTGTTGTATTAAGTGGACGGCTCGATTTTTGTTGGGACGGACCTGTCATGGATTATTGATGCACATCTGAAACAAAGCTTGGTTGATCAGCAGTCCTCGTTCATCTGCAGATGGAGATCCAAGTAACTTGGTGCGGCATCCCACGCCGTCCGTGTCGCCTCCCTCTCTCAAATCAAGGTCGCGTTCACAATGCCGCTGCCGTAAACGGGACGTCATTGCCCTGGTTTTCCAAGCGATCCCAGATTTTTTTTTGAGGATGTCATTAAAAGGCAGATTCCGCAGCCCTGTGATTTGCATGCCGACGGCACTTTTGGAAAGTCCCTTCTATAGAGCATTTTGCTCCACTCGTCCACGCCGGCCAGATGGGATACCCACACTTTACCCCACCACACGTGACCTGACAATCGTAGAACTGTGGTAAACCCATCGATACTGCTGGGTGGACAGAGTTGGGTTGGTGGTGGTGGGGGGGACACCTCCATTGTTTCAACTGCTGAGATTTTCTCAGCTCATGCGTGCGGAAAAATTTCCCCGGTTACTATGTTGACATCAATTACGCACACAATGGCCCCTACATTGTTCGTTGCTGGAGGTTTAATTTGAAAACGGTTGTATAATACGGCACGCAACGTACATCTTTCAGTTGAAGAGCTCGCGACAATACTGTTTGTACAGAATTATGATAATGTACAAACCTCCACTGTGTCATTAATGAGGCTTTGTTTAACCATACTTCACCACGTACGAGAGTGGAGATGTGTGAAGAGGACGGGTGCCCAGCATCGGTCGTGGCCGGACTAAGCTAGTGCGGGGCCTGTAGCATGATGTTATAAAGGGGCCCTAAATAAATAAATAAACACACAAATATTAAAATACACATTTTTTACTTGCATAGTAAAGTAATTGTATTTTTTCCATTTGCTATACAACCAGATAATACGACACATCGCTAACCTTAAACACCCAGTCGTTCATAAAAGCCGAAGGCGGTATAGTACTATAGTAATAGAGCAAGTGCAGAATCACCCAACCGGACTTGATCGCTTGAAAGCATTTAGCGCGGGGCCCTTGAAAGTGCGGGACCCGTAGCATTTGCTGCTTTTGCTACTGGGATCATCCGGCACTGGGTCGAACCCAGGTGTCAAGGAGTCGGCGGCGCCGCGAGCGGACAGCTGTGCGCAGCGCTCCTCTCCTCTGTTTTTACACGCGGGACTGCACTATGATCGACAGAGGACTACGCTGGTAAGGCGATCGGTGGGGTAAACCGTGAACACCCTTGCCTGTTGTGACTCACGAGGCTTGCCTTGACACATTTGGCTAAATGTTCCCTTCAAAATAGAACAGAGCCCATCTCGACGCAGCACACTAATCGCTATAATTCTCACAGTCCGTGCGCCACGTGGAATACTTCATCCTAGAGCGCACATCCCAGCCGTGTTTGAAGCGCAGGCCGGACAAGGCAAGGCAACGCGGACGCGCTGGGCACAGAAGCCGATCGATTGAAACGCACAATATTTGTATGGCTGTCAAATCGTTATTAGACATTACAAGGGTCGTTGAACTTGTTGTTTAGATACGATGTAAATGTGCAGTGGACATGGACACGAAGCCTATAAAATGTGTAAATCATATTTATATGTATTGGGGGGATGGGGGGTGCGGTGACACAGTCGTTAAAGCACTGCGCTGTGAATGTGCTGAGCAGAGTTTGACTCCGGGCCGGGGCGAGCTCGACTTGACCCCCCCCCCCCTTCGTCACACGGGGTCACAAAAAGTCAGAACCCCCCCCTCAAATATGACGTCACAAAGCTCTGCCCCCCCTCCCCAAAAAAAAAACATGCTTCAAATCGCTTTAAACTATTGTCATTGTAGTGCGTATTTAATGTGGCGCTGCACTCTGATGTTGTAGGAGAAAATATGTATTTGAAAGTCGATTTTATTAAGTAGAACGTGTTGTCTATATTTATTTAAAGTTGCGCATTTTGATGTGACGTCACATTTCTCACCCCCCCCCCACCCCTCGTCACACATCGTCACAAATGTCTGACCACCCCCCCCGCCCCTAGGTGCGTGACGTCATTTATGGACGGCCCCCTATCACCGACCCGCGCCGGCCAGCACGCTGCAGTATGGCTCAGCAACTCCACGTGGCCAACACGCATGGGGAGTCGTTCATCCAGCAGCGGATCGGCAAAGGGCTGTAAGCAAGAGTAATCGTAATAATTGTTTTTTTACCCTTTTATCTGGCAACAAAACTGACACCTTTTTTACAAGGAGTCATGTTTGCATTGACCACAATACCTGCAGTCGAAATGCAAACAAAAAACATAACTCTGATAATGTATGCACTGTCCTTGAAGTTGATTGGTCCACACCCGAGACAGCTTTCTTTAGAGCCTCGTCTCACATGGTGTTGGATCAGATGACGCCAAAAGGCGCACAACTCAAGGACAATGCACCATCAGAGTATGAGAGCTCGGGGTAAGCATTTACACCATTGGAACCTCATTTGCCAGTAGCAAAATATGATAATTGTTTTTTTACCCTTTTATCTGGCAACAAAACTGACACCTTTTTTACAAGGAATCATGTTTGCATTGACCACAGTTTTGTTGCCAGATAAAAGGGTAAAAACCCAATTATCATATTTTGCTGCTGGCAAATGAGGTTCCAATTGAGTAATCGTAATGTAGAGTAGAACCCCTCTTAACGACGGTCATTGGTTCCACGAAACGGGTCGTTGAGTGATTTGGTCGCGAAGCGAGTACAGGAAATACAGTTTAAAGGCGTAATTCGTTCCGATAGCATCGACATTTATCCTTTTTCAACCAAAACAAGTACTTTCTAATATTTAAACAACGGATAATAATACATAATAATGCATTGTAAACGCATAATATTATCAGAAACATGGTTAATCAATAAATTAATTAACAGTTACTGTACCTACTAAAGCCCGTCGTTAACAGGGAATTGGTCGGTAAGCAAACACATTGGGCTCTGTGGAGGCACTACAGTAATATACACTACACTATACACTACACTATGCACTACACTATGCACTGCACGACAATACACTACACTATGCACTACACTATACACTACACTATACACGACACTATGCACTACACTATATACTACACTATACACTACACTATACACTACACTACTATACACTACACTACTATACACTACACTATACACTACACTATACACTACACTACTATAAACTACACTATACACTACACTATACACTGCACTACTATACACAACACTATACACTACACTATACACTACACTATACACTACACTGCTATACACTACACTATACACTACACTATACACTACACTACTATACACTAAACTACTATACACTACACTACTATACACTACACTATACACTACACTATACACTACACTACTATACACTACACTACTGTACACTACACTATGCACTACACATTGGGCTTTATGGAGGCCCATCGTAAGCGATTAGTCGTTCACAGGGGTGGTCGTTAAGAGGGGTTCTACTTTGTATATACTCTGTAGTTTTTTTCTTCTCGACTGTATTAATCGCGATGAAATCAAGATGAGAGGGTGATGCCACTGAAAAAGCACATTGCATCCAGATGCATGGTGTGGTACACGGAGCTCTTGGTGAGACGGGCTTTCTTGGCACAGAAAACACATTAGCACATTAAAGGCAGAGCCGTTTCCAAACTAAACCACAGAGCTGAAATGTCCCTGGCTGAAAGCATGGGTAATGTAATAATTGTTTACAGCACACAAAAGTAACAGAATGAAGGGGTAATACATGGCGTGTTTTTGATGCTTTATTTTTTTGTATAATTGAGGGCAGGTACTATCGACAGACATGTTGCTCTATAAATAACAACGTTAACGTAATACAACTTAGACGGCAGTCAAGTAACACATTTCCCCAACAGTAAAAATAGCAAATGGCTTTGTTAAAACGGCTGCTTTCACCATCAAGAACATATATTGCTTCTTAGATTTTTCTTCTGCCAATGTGACAAATCCACTTAAGCACGTTGATGTCAATCGCCTGGCGGTGGTGACGACCCACGTGACTCGCGTGGCTCCAGGGTTGGTGGGTCACCACACACATTTGGCGAAACTCCATTCCCTGTGTGCGTCGAAGAGACGCCGTGGAGAATGTGGACCAGACGTCACCCGTCCCTTCTGCACGGGGATCGAGCGTTGCCACCTCGCACGCGCGGGTTTTCTCCCACACTTATCAAAACTAATCATTCGTTGGCTGAATTATTTTTGTTTATCCATGCGCGGCCGCCTCTGCTCCGCGTTTGCGGATTGCGCAGCGTTGTGCGGTGCGGTTGCATAAGTGGCGCTGATTTACACGTTGTAAAGCTTGAATTTGTAATTAAAATATTAGATTAATACATGTGATTAACATTGACTTTGGACTGGATGCAAGGTATTCTGGTAAGGATTTTATTTTTCTCTTTCTACCCGTTAGGAACATTTGGACCACAGTCATTCAATATGGTCCGAAAAGAGCACAACACGCTCAAGAATAACACTGTGGCCGTATTAGGCAGATGTGCTGTGAAGAAGGTTCGTTGCCCAAAACGTCGTCTATTATATGTTATTTCATTCAAGGCAGTGTTTTCGACAAATGTGTTCAGTTTTTTTTGGTGGATGTTGCATGCTATGACGTTTTATGAACCCACATTGGCCCGCACTGGGACACTGAGATCATTGGATGAAATTGCACCTCATGAATTTCAATGATTATTAATATTAATAACTGCCTAAGCCTACCGACTCAGTCTTCATACTCTTTTGCCAGAGCGTCCTGATAACTTTTCACACCTGACGACTGCCACGTGTTTCATAATTAAGTAATTTGCGATTAATTATTGATTGCAAATTTGGACCGTGGCGCTGACACAACATGAAGGGGCAGCATGCTCTTCTTAGACTGACGTCACAATGGGGCCGAGAGCATGTGGTGTCTCTACGGTTCATGTTCCCTCAAAGCGGTATTTACCGGGGCGGGCAGAAGGGTCCTAATCGCAACCCTCTGCAAGAAACGGTGAACGATGCTGCTACTGCTGCTACTGCTGCATCATCTCACCGCCAGAGAAACCATGCCAGAATGGAGTTGTGCTCATTAAGCAACTGATTGATCGGTTTTAATAATATTACAATTTTAAATGAGGTAGCAAATTTAAGATGTAAATGAGATGGATGAATTGTTCCTCGTGTGAGGAGACTGGCTTACGAGAAACATTTTCATTTCGATTGTTAATTTATTTATTTAAGAATATTGGCAACCTTTTTAAAGCTTGTCCTAAGTTGAAAGGTTTACGTTTAAAGGCTGACTGTCCAGTTAGGCTCGACATTTTCTCTCTCAATAGACACTATATATATAAATACATTCAATACAAACGTATCCCATTGCATGTTGAAGCTTAATGAGAGTGTTGAAGGTGACCAGTCTTATCACGAGGGTTTGCCACCACTCCGATGTTTGACCCGGTAAGTGTGAGAATTGGCATCTGGGTTCGGTTGGCAGCAGAAATTGATTCGTGCCCGAGGTTTGGCACCGGCTCTGCTGTGTAACGTCATTGCAGTAGACCGCACGGGTGTGAGAGACATACGGTTCGCTGCAGAATTACGTCGGGGCTTTGCTCTGTGTGGAAAAGGTGGCTTGCCCCACTTATTACTGAGATGTCAACCACCCACTCATCCACCAAACACCCACCAGCCAAGGGAAGTCTCTGCTATCAGCCACTCACCCCCTCCCCCCCCACACCCGGGCTATCCCCATTCTAACTCTGTCCTCCGCCACCTCGCGGCTCTCTTATCAAATTGTCCACCTCCAACAGCCCCCGGGCAACGCCTCGTTTCCGAGGCAGCCACCCGGAAAGTCGACACATCCCCCGGGGAATGCGGTCACTGATAGGCAGAACGTGCGCGAGATGGATGGCTTCACATTTCCTGCTTCATTTCCTTTAACACGCTGTCCCCCCCCCCCCGCTCGCCATCAGCCCCCCCCCCTATTGCCCCCCCCCCCCAATTGCTCACCCTCACCCCCCACCCCCGCTGACCGATCGGTCTAATTGTGGTGGCATTTTTAACGACAGCGCAATTGGCCCACGAGCCGCTCCTCCCTCAGCAACAACAAACGAACTGCTCCACTACTTGTTTGCTTGATTGACTTACACTTCCATTAGCGCTTAATTATAAATAATAATAATAATAATAACAATTCCGCAGATACATTAATGTGATGCAGGCTGTGGGTGGAGTGTCACGCCGTCGCAGGATCGACGTAACAATCTGGACTGCGCTTGGTGTTTCGTTTGTTGTCCTTTCCCCGCACCTCCGACGATGAGCTCGGTTGGCTGCGTACGGTGCGAAAGAAGTTCAACGTGCATCGTGAGAGGTGGTGGCCGATTTAGGAAGGTCTTCATCCAGCAGTGGACTGACCGTGGCAAATGAATGACGATGATTGAAAATATATATTTGTAAAGTGCTCCGCTGCCAGAATGACTGCCTTAGAAGAGAAAATAAAGTGGAGCAAAATGTTCATTAGGGTGTCGGCTATGGGGGAGGGTTGTTTGACCATACTTCACTGCGCTGGTCAATGCAAGTGAGCAAAGGAGAGAGCCAGGACCAATCCCAGATATCGCTTTCCACTGGCTGGGAATCTCAACTTGGCTCAAAGAGAAGTGTGCCAACCGCGATGCCACCACTCCACCCCATAGATTATTTAGCAGCTGTTATTATGGATTGGCTAATGCGAGGCAGACACCATTCACTCCCTGTATTGATGAAAGTGCACGTGGCTATGACTGACAGGTGAGGACCTTTTCGAAATAATTATAAAAGTGCCATAATGTCATTTAAAAATACTTTCGGAATACCTACTTTTAAAAAATGTTTAAACAATTTAACGCAACCGTGCAATTGTAAGATACCTGCTGTTCTTGCTGCGGCAGCGATGCACCACAAACTATACACGTTGTTAAATCAGAACATACTCTTGTTTTGGACTCGATTTCATTTCTCTGCAGTTTCGGAGAAGGTGAAACCGTACACACACAGCCAGTAGCGGTGAACTCTTTGCTTTTAATTGGCTCACGTAAGCACCAAATCTAGCATTACTAATTTATTCTATTCAAATGCCTCTTGGGTTGCAAATGACGTTTAAATCTGTAGACACCCCCCCCCTACCCCGACCAAATGGCGAACGTTAGCAGACATCGATAACCTTGTGAAATAAACAGTGCGAATATGTTCTGCTTTGTAGTATGATCATTCATGCATGTCTACAGTATATCTTGCCTCGGCGGGCTCAAATAACGCTCTGATTTAATGATAATTTGAAATTATCTATAATGGTTTCTTTCTTCTAAGTTTCTCCTAATAACTTGTCAAATTACCGAGGTTTTTAAAATCATTCTTATTGTTGTAATTAATTTATTAATTAATTGTATCACATTTATGCTGAAAATTGCCTTTGGGCAGTTCAGCAATAATTGCATAGATACGTCTTGCTCCTTTTCCCCTACCCCGACATCACCGGACGTAGACATTCTTTCAGCCACCGTTATGCCCATCATTTAACTGAACTTCTAAATCTTTACTTTCGCCGTCTACGATCATCTGGACCTCGTAGGAGGGGCTCGCTCAAGGCCATTCCCCACAGTCTCAGAGTCATTCTGGGCACAGCTGGACGTGTTTACAAATGTTGAACTTCTTTCGCACCGTACGTAGGCAACCGTGGCCAATCGGATGTGCCGGGGAAGGACAACAAACTTAACAAAAAAGCAGTGCTAAAGAAATTTGCTTTCAATCGAAATTTAAAAGTGCACAGCTCCAATTGGCTTCCTAATATCGGAAGGAAGAGCGTTCCAGACGGCCGCAGCAGCGCATCTGAAAGCGCCGTGCGGCGATGCGGTGACCACCGTCTTTGTTCGATGGCTCCGCCAAAAGCCGCCGCTGCGAGGATGAGCGGAGTTCGCGTGATGGTTTATGCTCCTTGACGAGATCGGCAGCGAGGTATCGTGGTTCATGTGTGGCACTCACTCTGCGTGCAATGAGCGCGCGACCTTTATAATGAATTATTTGGGCGACCGGAAGCCAGGGCTGCTCGGCGAGCACCGGACGGACACGGTGGAGGATCCTTGCACCGGAGAATTTAGTGCACTTCGCACGTGGCTCTGACTCCTGTGCGGGTCGTGCGGATTGGGATAAAGCGGGACGCATTTTCTTCGTGACTCAGAGGCAAAGCCGTTAGGTCAACGCACAAGTCCGCCGACTCCTCCAATGTGGCTCGTGTTGAGTTTTTTTTTCGCTTACACCCCGATGGCCTACATAACATCTCACGATGATGAAACGTGAAGGGCTCGGTCCCTTCAGCCCAACGTGGACCCCTTCGCTGGGATATGGGACTCATGGTCAGCAGAATTTGCCATGGCTGTCACTGCAAAGGGAAATTAGCCAGGGCATGCCTGGCACGCGGCCATCAATCTTTCCTCCTTTTAGTGTCCCCAGTGCTCGCCCCGGCGTTTGCTGTTGGGCGTTTGAAAGCTGCGCATTCATGACATGAAAAAAGTCAGGTTGAAAAATATTGGGGAAAATTTTTTTTACGTTACAAAAAGTATTAAAGATTTCTTTAAACTCTATTTCTCTGTTTCCTGAAATGTAGTTTGTAATATGTGTAAGAAAGAGTGTTGTAAAACGTCACATTTCCATGAAAATAAATAGCAGAGATTGCAGCAAAAAAAACATCTTGGCCGGCTTTAAACCATATTTTGGTATCGTTTTTTCATTAATTCTTTTGTTTGGTAAAATAGGCGGTTTCTCTTTTTTTGTTAAAAGTTTGTTTGCGTTGTGCGCGGCTCACAATTGTGAGCGTTGACAGCTCTCTCAAACGGCTCGCAGTTCGTGGCGTTGAGGCCGAAACGCGCTCGGACTAAATATTGCTCGAGAGGTTTTCTCGCGAGAGACCCACCAGGCCGCTTTGCGCGCGTTTCATTTGCGCGTTTGCACGACCGTCTACTAGCGCCCGCGAGAGTGGCACACTTGCCCTTGGCGAGCGAGCGCGCGTGTCATTCCGAGGCAAACCGCCTCGGCGCTGTGTAATTGCACCGTGCTGCGCTGGGATCTTGGGAACAAATACGAGCCGTGATCATTATTAGGATCGCGGTGTATACACGGCCGCGCACGGCACAGCCGCGGGTGCGTAACTCCAATTAGGAAGGACGCACGAGACAGAGAGAGAGAGAGAGAGATAAATTTTTATTTTTTAAAATCCCATCACAGATATCTGCAATGGATCATCACGGCGACAAAGATACGAGATTAAGAACGGCTTTTGGCATTCGCTGTCGTGACGTTAATGCCGAGAGCAGCGGTGCAGCTTCGGCTGAAATTTCAACGTTTTAATTGCAATGCTCTGGGGTGGAGCGGTGACGCCGTAGTTAGCGCACCGCGATATAAACACCTGGGATCGATTCCCAGCCATGGGTGATGTCGGTGGGGGGCGATATCCGAGCCGGTCGTGGTCACGCCATCGCTCGCATGCACTGACCAGCGGACCAGCGCGGTCCGGTAAGGTCCAACAACTCCCGTGACCGCCACGGGAAAGCCGTCATCCAGCGGTGGATTGACAAAGCGATGTACACACTCTGCTACCGAGCCACTTAAATTGCACATTACACTCGTTTTGCCATTTTGGCACAGTGCTCACAACCGCATGGAGTCAGTTTATCGGAATGCGTCTTTTTTTTTCAGTTCCACTGAATTTACATTTAACATCCCAAGATGCTTTTCTGTGTGTGTCGAACCTCACGATCGCCACGAGTTGCGGCCAACTCGCCCCGACCTGCTCGCACAGCTGTGGAACTCCGCGCGTGCCGGTGGCTGCTCGTGCGCTTCCCCCCGGCTCGGCGTCGAA